AGCAGGGATAGGCAAACAATCTAAGGAAACCTTAGAAAATTCTGCGATTTATTTTGTTTATCTGCACTCATCCAATAATGTTGAATAAGTAATGAAATTTCTGACATATCTCTAACAGTCTAATAGAAGACACTATTTTCCCTGTCACATTTACTATTAGCTGTGTATTAGGTTCCAGTTCAACAGCTCTTATAATTTAGTTTTGACAAATTGGTATCTTACTTATTGTTGAAGTATTTTTCTTATCACCTTGCGGTTAAAAAAGGCTCTTTCTTGTTACTGTTTCATCACATTTTCTTCCTAAACTATCACTTCATCTTATGTACAATGATTGGCTCTGCTTTAGTACCTTTTAAAATGAGTACTAAACACAAGCCATAGATCTTACTGGTTCGTATAAAACAAGTATATTGTTCAGCATTACAGAGCATGATTGAACAAGTCTGTGATAATTCTTGATGTGCACAAAGGCACTTCAGGGGCTCTCATTTTTGTGATCACTTAAATGAAAAAATCCTTATCTGTGCAGATGGCTTTTTCTATGTACATTCTAGTGTCTTGACTAATTTCCTTTTGGAGTATAAATTGCATATGTTGTAGATAAAAAAGGCTGACTTTCATGTGTGACAATAGTATTTTAAAGGAATAGTAATACAAATATCAATGTTTTCTTGAGCAATGGCTACTTTTAAAAGTTCAATATGTTTTTAACCACTTGATCAAATGATTAGTCAGATTTTAGTTTAGAATTAATATATAATATTGATATAATTTGGATAACAAAGTGTGAGTGAAGTGAGCTGAAAAGTATTAGCCTTTCTAAAAAATTCCACATTATTTCAGAAGTATCTATATGATAACCTATTTTTATGCTGTTTAAAATAGAAAAAAATGGGAGCTAATAGAGAAGGAAGAAAATCTAATTTGGTTATTCCAGTCAAATGTACTATATGTTGCCAGAATATTAAACTGTCAGAAAATAGCCCTTTGAATTACTGCAGATGTCTCCTCATTTCTTCATTCTTAGACTATTCTCATCAGTTCTAGCTTCAGCTAAGCTGGGCTTATTGTAGAATGGTTTGGGCTGGAAGAGATCTCAGAGATCAACTAATTCCAGCCCCCCTGCTGTGGGCAGGGACATCTTTCACTAGACCAAGGTGCTCAGAGCCCCATCCAAACTGGTCCTGAACTGGGGCATCCACAACTTCTCTGGGCAAGCTGTTCCACTTCTTCACCATCCGCACACTAAAGAATTTGTTACTAATATCTAATACTACTACTCTCTTTCTGTTTAAAGCTCTTCCCCCTTCCTCCCACTACTTGCTCATAAAGGACTCTTCCCCAGCTCTCTCATAGCCCCCCTTCAGGTACTGGAAGACTACTATCTCTTCTTCAGGCTGAACAGCCCCAATTCTCTCAGTCTTTGTATGAGAGGTGTTCCAGTCCTCTGATCATCTTGGTGTCTTTCCTCTGGACTTGCTCCAAAAGGTCCATGTCCTTTCTGTCCTGGAGAACCCAGAGCTGGTTGCAGCACTGCAGGTGGGGTCTCACCAGAGCAGAGCAGAGGAGCAGAATCTCCTCCCTCACCCTGCTGGCCACTCTGCTTTGGATGCAACCCAGGACACATTTGGCTTTCAGGGCTGGGAATGCACATGGCTGACTCATGTCAAGCTTTTTGTCCAACAGGATCCAAAAGTCCTTCTACTCAGGCCTCCTTCAGTGAGTTCTCTCAATCTGTACTCATGTCTGGGATTATCCTTGCCCAGGTTCAGGATCTTGCACTTGACCTTGAAGTTGAACTTTACCATGAAGCTGAACTTCATGAGGTTTGCAAATCTCAAGGCCTTGGCAGAAGCTGTGCAATTCAATGTTGAGGTATTTGTGAAGCATTTGTTGTCATCTAAACAGGAAATTAATTTCTTCAGTCAGATTTTTAAGTGAAGAAAGAAGGAGATTTTTATGTTTTGACTTTAAAAATGCCTGTGTTGCAATAGAATGATTTCTCAAATAGTCATTCTCATGCACCTTAATTTTTAAGCAAATTATGTTTGGGCCTTTGTATATGTGTAAATATATACTTAGAGTGCAAACATGCATTTTGCTAGTTCAATTGTGGTCTGATTGTGTTTATATATCACAATTACTACAAATCTATACTATATACTATAGTATACTGTAGCTACAAATTACTACAAATAATTTTTCTGGGTTTTTATCCTTCAAGTTATCCTTTTCTTGAATTTTTATGCAAAAAGTCATTTGAATATGTATAGTGCTTTAGAATTTGTGTGGGAATATCAGATGGTGCTTTAAATGCTTTCACTTCAAACATTTTTAAATGCCTGTTGGGAGAAAACTTCTTCAAGGTGTATGTTTTATTCAGAGCTGATCTAACTTTGATACTGCTGATGTGCAATAGGTATTAAAATATTTCCACAGAGAAAGTGTATTTTTATCATTTGAACAAACAAACATGTTTGTCCAAATTTTCTCACATATAGAAAAAAATTTTATTTCTGTTAACAAACTTTTTGATTGATGCTAAATTTTTACATGCCTTTTAATGCTTTTTCTTCACTAGGTCTATCTAGGCTATACGCCTAGCAATTTTTCTTCCCTTTGAGTATTTTATGGCACTCTCAAATCCTCAGTAATTTATATGTATCATTATTTAATAATGATTATGTAATAGAGATCATCCTAAAGTCTCTTAAGCAAAGATCAACTGGCAAAACAATTAACAGAATTCAACAAATGAGTAAGCCTCAAGTTATCTCATTAAGAACAGGGTTTTTTGGGGAATAACACAACAATTTATTTGTTTGGTTTTAATAGTTTACTAGTGCTAATAACATAGGAATGTTTTATAAATGGCTAGTTTAAGTACAACAAAGATCTCTATGTTGGAGTTGTTAATTCAAATACTTCTTGCTTTGTATTTACTATGTTTCTATTTTCTTAACAAGGGCTGGTGCAAGAGTGTGCTGTCATTCACAAATTCAAGGAAGTGTTCTGTGCAGGCACATACTCTTTTCAGATTGCCTAAATGCCTGCTGCAATCCAGCTTGGACCCCAATTTGGGTGCTGCTATTGCTGAATTTCTGTGGTTTACATGAGCAGTCCCTGCTTTGGAAAGATGTTGAGTAGCAAGGTTCATCATGCCAATTCTGCATGAGCCATTTTGCATTGACATTAGAGGTGACAAGAGCAGTGCAGGTGTAAGAACAAAGAATTGAAATGACAAGATAGTAATGGTTTTTACGAGGACCATAAATCTTCAAATGTGACATGAATTGAATACAGCAAAAATGAGGAGCAGATAGCCTTATTCTTATCAAGAATGTTTTTGTTAAATTCAAATAGGAGGGACTTATGCCATGACATTTCTCTTAAGAAAAAAGATATTAGGATAACACACACAATTTCAACTGTTATGTCAGGGTTTAAAAAATTGCGTCAAGAAGCTGATGTTGTCTTCTCAGGATGTTTTTGTAGGATAGCAGATCCTTTAGCAAACTCTCTTTCAGCTTTTGCTGTTTCAGTATTCTGTATTTCCCGGACTATGTGTGCTCTATGACACCATTGGTACATATTTGGTTATATTCTGATATCTGACATGCCCTTTCACTAAGTACTTTAGAGCAAACAACTAGATAATCAGAGTAAAATAGTTAAATAAATATGAATGAATAGATTATATCCTTATTCAAATTTATATTTCTATATGAGGTTTCTGATTCTGGAGAAAAAACACAGGTGAAGCAAAATGCACAGGAGCAGATAGTTTCTAGTTGTTTGAATGTCCAAAAAATTATAGACAAATTGATGTAATGTTTTAACATCATCTGGCAATTAAGTGGTTTAATACAGCAACTCACTTACTCCAACCTAAAAAAGGGCGGGGGGAGGAACTGCAAGGGTAAAAGTGAGATAAATATAGTTTTAAAGGGAAAGCAAAAGGCACATAGGCAAGCATAGCCAAACAAGGGATTAATTCACTACTTCCCTTCAGCAGGCTGGTATACTGGCAGCTCCAGGAACGGAAGACTCCCATCGGTATTCCTTCACAACTCCTTGTGCATGAGACACTGAAAAATCTTTGATTCAGAGTAAGCACTACTTAAACATCCAACATCAAAGCAATCAAAACATCAGTGTGTTATCAACACTGTTCTGAATCCCAACCAGAGCACTGTAGCAGCTACTAAGAAGAAAATTATCCCAGGTGAAACCAGGACACCATCATATGGTATGGAACAAGCCTTTGGTCAGTCAGGATCAGCTGTTCCAGTGCACAAGAAGGTCCCAATTTCTGGTGCACCTCCAGCTTCCTTGCTGGTAGGATGGTGTGAGAAGTACAAAACACCTTGACGGTGTGTAAGTATTCAGCAATGGATAAAACATCAGTATGTTAGCAATACCTTTTAGATCACAAATCTAAAACATAGCCCCATATGAGCAGCTGTGAAGAAATTCAAGTCTATCCCAGCCAAATCTAGTACAGGTGTCAAAGAAATCTTTTCCCAACGTTTTGAAAAAAAGAGAAACCATCAAAATAATAGTGTTCAGTCAGCTTTGGATACTCTATTAAAAATCTAGCATTCTCATTTTCAAAGGGAATGATATCACAGAATTATCTCTTGCTGATAACTAGGTGTACAACTGGCTGCCTGAAGAATGTAAATTGCTCAAATTCTCAAATTCTTCCATTTTATAACTGCATCTACCTATCATAAATGCTGAGAGCTCATTATTGATAAACCAAATATTTAATTTTGACATCTATTACCATATCTGATTACCTTGTATTTCAATTTTGGTAGTCTGTAAGGAGATATAAAATTTACAAAGATAAGCAGATGAGGACTTTAAAACATTTCACATGACAAAGAGAAACACTACAAAGTAAAAAAAAAAGAAAAATCTACACTGAAATTTGACTATAATTAAGGCATTATAATTTTCTTATTTGTTCATGTGGGTTTTAACAAGTAAATCACCTGTCAAAAATATGTTGGCAAGGGATGTACAATCTCAGTGTAGTGCTGATGTATTAACAGGTGAAATCTGTGAACGCAGGATTCTTGATGTTAAATGCCTTGAGCACCATCAAACACTCTTCTCTCTCTGAGATGCAATTAGAGATTCTGAGCTTCTCTCTCAATTCATAGGTCTAGAAATAAGGTGTAGAATGAAATTAGTATCAGAACAGATTTTTAAAAGGTAGCTTATTTGCAAGTTTGTTGGTTACACTTCAACTGAGAGGACAGTAAGTTTTGTTGTTTGGGGGTCTTTTAATCCATTTAAGAATATATGCACTTCCTTGAGGTATGCATACACATCAAAAGAAAAGCCAAGACTTCAAAACTTGCATTTTTTTGCTTCTTACGGATAGCAAAAAGAGATGTGGAGTGGCAAATTTTGACCTATGTTTGAGGTATAAACATAGCAATACTACTTAAATACCAATGTACACATTTATCTGTCTTAGAATTGTGCTTATTTGTCTAGAAAACAATAAAATATTCATTTGGTGAATAATTACCTTCTTCCCCACTGCAGTGATGGAGATAAAATCTGTGTGTATACAAGTCTCCTAGAGGCTGGAATACACCATTAATTAGGTGTGTAGGAGAAAGGAAGAAGGAAAAAGAGAGTGCAGCATAATTCAAAGTGTTACTGAGTCGCTGACTGGGCAAGACTGGAGAACTCAGTTTGATTTCTGGTTTAAAGTGGAAAAGTCTATATTAGTAATAAAGTGAAAGCCACCAGTTCACAAACATTGCAAAGGAATATGTAGTAGTTCTGTGACAAAAATTTCAAGCTGGGGTAAAATGTTTTATCTGTTAGAAGATTTCTTCAGTTCAAGTTCCAAACTCTTTTGAGATTGTTAAGCAATACTTAAGATTTTTAGGTATAATACAAAGCAGTATTACTTTTTATGTTTCCTTATAGTCCAGAGCACTCATTACAAATGTAAATGTATGTTAATTTGATATAATCACTACAGTCAGCTTTTAAAAGGTGAAAAGGTGTTTGCCAATTGAGTACCTTTTTAACATTTTCTTTTGCTTTTTCTGAGAAGTAAATGTGCTCTTTATCTTGATCAAGTATTCTGGGTTTGGCTTCACAAATATGAAAGGATAAAATATATTCACTCTGAAAAGTGGACCACTGGTGCAAATCAGCTGACTTCAACACATAAAAATTGAGGATATCAGACACTTTTTTGAGAGAGAGTAGACTTCTCTTCCAGATTCTCTATGTCAACCCATTCTTTCAGATTGAAGGAAACATAGGTAGTGAAAACTTGGCAATACTTCACCCAAGAATTGTGGTGTACAATAGAAAAAACCCTAAACCTAAATTTTACTGGAAACTGAAAAGCAGCATTCTGTGGAAGTTCAGTAATAAGGTCAATTTTTTTCATTTTGTGTAATTGTTAGACAGATACAGATAATACTACCAGATGCTTTAGTAGTCTGAGTTTGTTTACAATGCAATTGCTTACTGTGAGATTGAAAATATTAATTCATCAAAGCAGGAGGTTTATTTTACTGTGTGTAATGCAGTATGCTATATACATCCACATTTTGAAAGGAAGGGGATTTATAAAATTTGTTTAAAAAATTAAAATGGAGAACTGTTGCATACTTGCTGAAAATTCAGAATTGCACAGGAAATCTTGACAGCTGGAACTCTCATTAAGCTTCATCTATTATTTGTTTTAAGTATGTTTTGTTAAGTAGTCAATAGAATGTGACTTCAAATGACTGGGAATGACTGCTGTTGGACCACTATTCCAAAGGAGTTGACTTGGAGGTTGAGTTCAAGAGGAAAGATAATCCTTTCAAAAAAGCTTGCATTAATGGCATAATCTACTTCTCACTGCATCTTCAGGACAACAACAACAACAACAGCGACAAAGAAAACCAACAAAAAACAACCAAATAAAAAGGAAATTTCTGAGAAGTGGAAATATTTCTCAATGTTACTTGGTAATGACACCTTCAGTAGCAGGTCCATTGCATTTATGTTATTAAAGTCTCTGACCTCAGTGTTATGTTTCTCAGCTGCTCCTTCTGACTGGGCAGTCCAACATGATTATTAAATGTAGCATCTATGTCCCTTTAAAACAGCCAGTCTGGTGTGTTTATTAGGACTGCTGGTCCATTGTAAAAGATACGAATTATTAGTTACCCTCCCAATCCTTGACACCCTCCTTTTCAAGAGTGGTGTGGTGGGCTGCAAAGGCATGAAGTATGGTGTTCTGTTCAATTCCTCATGTCACATATTCCTTCCCTATTCTTTTAAAGGGATACATTAGAATAACATTTTTCATCTTGAAAAGTTCTGTATTTTTATTGGACCCAACTCAGCCCATCTGACATATCCATGACTAAGTGGGAAATCTTTGGACTTCTAAATCCTGTGCCAATATCCAAAACCTGATTTTCTGTCTTTCAGTGAGAGTATATTGGTCCATCAGACATCAGTGGAAAAAGTGCAAGTCCCTGTGGAAAGTCAGAGTTTCACCTTTAGATTAGTTGCAAAATCGGATAAGTTTAGGTGTCCTGAGGATATTATTTTTCCATTACCATCCCCGATCTTAGCATAAGGTTAATAACTTCATTTGTCTTTCAGGTTCACCCAGACATGGATTTCTTACTCTTCCAGTATTGCTTCCAGTCTGAATGCTCTAAAACCTGGACTAAACTACTAGCAGTGATCAAATCAGAAATTTGGTGCTCTTTTGTGGATTTCTGTTGCTTGTATTTGTAATTAATAAATTCATCTCTAGGAACTGGAAAATCTGATATGTGTTTGATTCGAATTATAGTTTACAAGAAAGATAAATGTGCCATTCAACAGGTATTATAACAGTAAAGCTTTTATCATGCAAAGGTCAATTCCAAGGTCTTCTGGAGGAGCTTGGGCTGGAAGGTTGTTCTCCATTCAAAGTCACTGTAACCACCTCTTAGTCCAAGGCCAAGAGCATTGGGTGCACAGTGCATTTTGCATGCAATGTGAAGCACGCATGCAAAAAGCATGTTCCTCTGTGCTAGATAGTCCCACCTGGAAGTATTTTCTTCTCTAGCATTTTCCAGTTACTCTTTTTACTCCCCAATTATTCTAGGAATTAGGCTATCCAAGTTGTTTTTGACATTGCCTCTAAGCATCATTTTGAACTTCTTGTAGCCTGAGGTAGCTGTTCAGTTTGTACTTAACATGTAAGTATACTTCAGAAATTCCTGACTTAGAGTACTAATAAAGAAAACAGCTAAAATCACCTACTCCAGCAGCAGTAGGTCTGGAGCTTTAAACCAATGATCACAGATAGTTCAGAACTTAGCTGATTATATGAGGGAAGAACTGACTTTGGAAATACACCTTATCTTGGCCATGACAAACTACTGAATCCCCAGTCGTGAGCTCAACTACTCTTTTAATTTGAACCCCTCCTCCTTGTTCTATCACTATGTGCTTGTAAAAAATCCTTCCCAGCTCTCTTGTAGCCCCCTTCAGGTGCTGGAAGGCTGCCATCTCTTCTTCAGGCAGAACAATCCCAGTCCTCTCAGCCTTCCCTCACTGGAGAGGTGCCCTATCCTTATGACCCCTCATGACTTCATGACCCTAGGAGACAAAGGACAAAATAATCAATTTTATCCCTTTCATGTAGTCATTGTGTAATTTGTCATGGTAGTTTGGCTTATTGATTCTAAAGAAGTTCAAAGCATTATTTACATGTATGTAACACTCAACTGCAGGATCCTTGAAAGAACTTTCTCCCATTATGTAAGGGATATTATCATGGGCATACACAAAAAGAACTTCACAAAGGTAACATGTCGGAATCTGTGGTATTGATGATTCTGAGATTGTAAAAAGTCTCTGTCTTTCTGTCCGTTGCCAAAGAAGAAGTCATAATTTGTCTGTGCTGTTTTCAAGGTTGTTTATTCTTGCTTATCTCTAACATGTTCTGCTGCCCTGCCGCATGTCTGTCCTTGCAAGGTAGTGTGTGGGGCTCTGCCCCTCAGTGGGAAGTTACAAACATTATATACCAGAAACTATCTGTGCTGTATTTACAATAATGTGCCAATATCTGTCATCTACGTTGAACAGTGTGTCCCCAGCCTAAACCAATAGAAAAATGCCAACAATACAGTGAAACATGGAGGGCATGAAGAAGGAGAAAAAGGGTGTCTATGATTACACTCCATTGCAGTTACAAGTCCAGTGTTACCAGTCAGAATATTATTCATGCAAGGACAGGAACGATGACCCAAAGTGCATCTGCACTCATACATGCATGGGAGCCGTCTCCCTCAGGGGTACCCAGAAGATGGGTTCACTTCACTGGAAAGGTCACAGATCACTCAGAGATACCCATAAGAAACAGTCACTCACCAGGCAAAGGGATGAAGGCACTCCATCCCTGGAAGTCTTGAGGGGAGCCCCAAGGGCAGGTTTTGCATCACAGAACTGCTGTTCCAGGGAAAACTGACATGGTTGCTGGCAGAGGCCCCATTTATAAACTGGCTGGTTTGGAGCTCATTATTGTACACAGTCATGATCCGGAAACTTCTCTAGGCTGAGGCCTCTCACTGGGAGGAAATACAACCTACTGACCAAGGGGATTTGCACTTCTTATTCCCTCCACTGTGGGAGGCAGGAAGGGAGAGGAAGAGAGGTAATTGTGTACCTGACACAACTGGGGCCACCAGGTATCAGCCAAGGTGGGACAAGTACTCTTGCCACAAGGGTAGAACAAATATTTAAATAATTTTAAAGTATAGGACTTTATATTTGAACAAATTTTTTTTACTATTCTTTGTTCTTTATGTCAAGATAGCACAAGGCAATCTACAGGAAGACATTCAGTTAAATCAGCTTTGCTTTGAGCCAGCAAGAGCTTCTGCAATAGAACATTACAAACATGACTAATTATTCAGAGTAATATTCCCAATTTCTTGATGTATCTTGCTTTCTATATTTTGATTTACTTAGCAATCCCTTGTTAAAGTCAAATTGTTGATATCTAGATGTTTGGTTTTGTTTTG